TATGCTTCTGTCTGTCGGAATATCTAGAGGATTATGCTCTTACTGATGCACATCCAGCAAAAAGACATGGCAGAATGGACTGTGCCAGTTTAGGCAGAACACAGTTTTTAAATTCCCCACCTTTTACCAAAAACCTAAAATCCTACCATGTCAAAACAAAACCTGACACACCATCCGTAAGGGCATCCCCTCTCTCACAGGGAAGCATTCAAAAGCTGCATCACTCACTTGTAATTTAAAGTAGCACAGCACATCCTACCACCTCATCCTGCTGTGCTCGTAAACCAGAATATAAAAGGCAGAACTAAGAGAATAAAAAGAATCAACTTATTTAAATGTATTCTGTCTTCACAGGAAGGATGGCTGACTTTCTGATTATGTTTCTCACTAACATAATAAACTATGTATTTCTCTAAGGTATGTTCCCATCTCATCATATTCTTCAGTTACCAAGTTAAAAATGCAGGTTATTCACTCCGAAGAGTGGCATGTCTGCACTGAAATAGTCAAGGAATTATTTTAACAAAAGTCATCCTGGTGTCTATAATCTTCCCCCACAATTAAATGGGATAGTATTAACATTTAATATACCCCATTTTCTCTTCCAACTATTTAAATTTCATTTTTTCAGTAGTTGGGATAACTATACCCCTTGCTAGTAGAAAACACAATCAAATTCATCATACTTAGAACAGTTGTTGTGTTGCTATGTTCCATCAACTTGTCTCTGATGTACCAGCTGACGGATATGCCAAAAGACACAAACCTGCTCACTTTTAAAAAATGCAGCAGGGAACCTATTGGCATAGGTGAGACACACACAACATAATGGTAAAAGTCATCAATAAACAATGCTTTTTGCTATGTATTTTTAATGGATCTAAGAACAGCCTTGCATAGCTTACCATGAATCTTATTTCTGCTTCACTCACCTAAATTCCACATACTTTGAAATCATACCCCAAAACATGACTTGCAAGAAATTCTATCAAGTCCCAATCTACCGACACAACAATAAGTTAGGAATCATGGTGTGCAATATTAAGCATAGAAATAAGCTTAATAGATAGAAAAAAGCACTGCACGTTGGAATTGCAGTCCCTTTCTCCATTTAAACATGCTTATGATTGTGCTTTTACGGGCAACATGTTTGTAGGCTTTGTAATTAAGTTAGAAGCAGTCACTCCAACCAACATCCATTTCTTGTATTTGTCCAAGCGGGAGTCACACCCTCCTGCAAACATTACTGTTTTCACCAAAGAGTCGTTAGAAGAGTCCTACTTATCCCACTCTCAGAAATGCGGGCCTCTTCCAATCTTTCTTCTCTGCCTCCCTCAGACCCCCAAACAGGTTTCTCTAATCCTCTTCCAAAAAAGCCACTTGAAGACAAAGAAGGCACCACACCAGCCAGGAAGTTGGCCACCGCAGCCCTGGTCATTAATTAAGAAGCAGCTCAGCATCCTTCTCTAAACACAGCAGCGCACTTGGACACCAAGCGAAAACACACACATACACACTCAGTTACCAGGTCTAAAGCTGAGTCAAATGCACTCAGCCAAGCCTGCAAGGCATCCTTCAAACTAAAAAGAAAAGCGCCTTCTCTCTTTAAAACTGAAATTAGGCATTGGCCTCATCAACTTCTGTTCCTTTTCCAGATAAAGACACAGGCACTTAATTCCCACCCTGCTCAAAAGCAGTCCCCACTTCACTTGACTTTGACTATCTGGCCACCAGGGAAGATTGTCTAACTAAAGAATGAGTGCTTTTTATCTATTTACAATACACAAGCCCAGGAGGACAATCTGGATATTGTACCTTCAGTGAGACAGCTTGTTGCCTCACATGCTGATTGAATACGATAGAAGTTGCAGTCCAACAGACCTGCAGGACACCACACTGGAGAAGGTGACCATATGGAACTTTGCCTACAGTAAGTTAAAGAGGTTCAGTCTCATTCCCTTAGAAATATTTAATTTTCCTACCCTGTGAGAGAATTCCAGCCACAATTGAGAGCTTTGAAAATGGTGGCTGCATTTGCACTTTTCTGTTGTTCCCTCTGGGCTGAGATATGCAAGCGGGTGTCACACAGAGGTGTGTCAATCCCTGTTTTCCCCTGCAGAGGAGGACAGGACGTGTTCCAATGGAGCAAAGCTCAGGAAACCAAGGTTCAGTTTGGAAGCCAGGAAGTACTTCCTGACAGTTAGGACCCTTAGGGTATTGAATGGGCTTCCATGGGAGGTGGTTGAAGTCCCATCGGTGAAGGTGTTCAAGGACAGGCTCGGCATGCACATGGTAGGCATGTCTGGAACTGGCTGGAGCCAGGGGTGACTAGATGGCCTGGGAGACCCCTTCTGATTCACTCTGTTTCTATATCGCAGATTTATTTTGACATGATTTTCATTTCCATCAAGCTAACAGTGCTCAGAGAGTTAGCCATTTTACATGACAAGGGAGTGAATTAAGAAAAAATAATTGTGCTGTTCAGGACTCCATATCAGCTTCTATAGTCTCCAGCAGCTCTTCTCCTGAAGGTAGAAAACCTGTATCTGGACTTGACTTCACCCCAAAGAAATAGGCTAGCATATTTAATGCTCTTCTGCATCAAAATTGCAATCCCTACCTACAGAAAACTAGCACATGTGAGAGAAGTGATGTTCTAGTCCAGGCTTCTCTCCAGACCATCTGTTTTTATATAAGGAGGAACATTTACTACATTAGCCTCACCTGCAGTCTGAAGTCTAGTCAAGACCCATGTTTTCCAACTAAGTGAAAATCGCACCTTGTCCCACAAGAAAGTTTCCCTGTTGGAACTGAAAGCAGTATGTACTCCCTTTACCACTAAGCTTCAGAGAGTCAGAACCAGAAAGAATTCCAAGATTCTTTCACAGAATAAGGTGTTTTTGCTCCTTCAGATCCTTCCCCATCACCTCCCTAGAGCAAGTAATTGTCAGTAAATTAATCAGGGATTATAGATTAAGCACAGCATTAAAGTTCCATTATAGAATCGAGGAAAATAATGGGCATATTCATACAATCATTTAATATGGAGTGCATATAAAAACTTGCTAAAAGCCAGATAAAAACTTGTCTGTATTGTCCAGTGAAGACAATTTTACCACATGTTTACACTTGATTAGACATTTGAAAATCAGAGCTGAAGAAACACTTACTGTTGTGAGAGCCATCAAAGTTGTAAGCCTGAAATGCAGGATATATGCATACCTTTCTAAAGACATTTCTCATCATCGTTTTACTGAACAATACAAGAAGTTTCTCATGATCTTCATGTGAATTTCTAACTTTATAAACATACTGTGTTGATCTCATAAAACCTGAATTCTTCAATTTTTAAAGAACTAATGTTTAATCTTAATGGTTGTGGGAATCAGAGCTGGCAAACCCTCTAGCAGCCAGGAAGATGCAGCACATTTCACAGCTTTCCTCAAGGACTCCCTTCTTTGCAATGAAACTTCATCCATTCACTATGGTGTTATGCTCCCCTTTGTATAGTTAAGACAGGGGATATAATCTATCTCCAGTGACAGTTCTTGTTAAGAAGGGAATATGGGCAGAACTAGGAGAGATTCTGTTCACAGCCTTCCTGTGCCATGTGCTCCCATTCACAATTACCCGGCACAGCATATTCCTGACCAATCTCAAATTCAACTGATGCCTTACTCATCAAAGCCTAGAGCAATGCAAGAAGCTGCATTTAAAACATTCAGTATATCAAACAAACAAAGTGACTCTGCATGCTTAGTTTGCACACATTTGAGCATTCCTTCCCAACTAAGAAGATTCTAAATGAAGTTCAAACTCATCCTAATTCTGATTATTTTGCAGACAATTACAAGGTATAGCAGAATGAACCAAGGAGTTGTACTATCTCCCCAGCAAGTCAATCACTATTAGCTCTAAGAGGAAGAGGCAAAATAGTTCTATGGGTTGTATCCCATGTTAGCCCTATTTAAATAAGACAAAGACTGAATGCAAGCCAGTATATCTATCCAAACTGTACAAAGTGCTTTAAGCAAGCTTTTATCACTAACAATGTAATTAGGTGCAATTACAGATACTGAAACTGAGGCACTTTTGTATGAGACTTGTCTTCCCCATTGACATGCAATTGGGCAATGGCAAATCTAGGCTTCCAGTCCCCTATTTAAATTATCATTCAATATAGCCAAGCTGGTTCTCTCTTTTACTGACAGCACATATTAAACAAGATTATCTTTTGAAGGAAAACAGTCATGGCTGTCTCTGCCCTACATTAATCTCAGGACAACATGCTAAGGAAGATGCCACAAAGCAGAAAATCCCTGACCATAAAACCATTACTAGATAAAGCAGCTCCAAAAAGGAAAGAAAAAAAAGTTGCGTGGGGAAGAGATGCACACAACTATGGCAGAAATATCTTAAGGCTTAATTTCTTGAGACTTTAAATCCTGTTAATTAAAATTAATCATCAGTAATGTGTCAAATAAAATAAGCTGTAGAAAGAAAGGCTGAATCTCTTGAGAAACACTAGGGCATCATTCACCTGTTACTTCAGCTAATCCAAAAGGTAAATAGATGATTTCTTTTAACCAAGCAGTCACATACCCCTCCCTTACTTTCCTCCTTTTAATATCAATTGCTCTGAGAAGCATCAACTAGACTCACCTGGAAGTAAGTCTCATTGAACTTAATGGGACTTACTTATGAGTAAAGATATGCAAGCTTGCATTGCCATCATACTTATCCAGCTCCAATGTACCCTGAAGTACCTTCCAGTTAGATGAGCAACTTTCAGGCACATTCAAACAGCAAGGCTGTCTTTCCAGTTGTGTTACATACTGTTCAAGAAGGTGGCAGAGGCAGCAACCAGCACCCCCCCACAGCCCCCCAAGCGATTTATGAGCCACCATTCATGCCACATTTCCCAAAACAGCCAAGCACTCTGCCAAAAGTGAAGCCTTCAGTAGGCTACAGAAACTCAGATGCTCAATTCCATAACTCACCTTAGTACTGATGTCTTCTCGCTTGTTCCCTGCTTTGCTCCTTCGCAGTTTGATAGAGGGAGATCGAAGCAGGTTCTTTATCCGACTTGTAATTGTAGAGCCTTCAACAGACATCATAGCCTTGTTGGGGGGGGAAGTGCCGCCCCCCTCTCAAACCCTCTCCACCACCACCAAGCCAGAGAAGTTCAGGGTCTGGCCTTGCTGCGTTTCACATTTCTCTCAGGAGACTCCAGTTTCCAAACCCTCCCTGTTCACTTCATCATAAGGCTCCCGCTTCAGGGCACAGTTGTTTTAAGCTTTTGTGTTATGACTATTCCAGATTCTTCCTTTGTCAGTTCAGAAGACACAGATCAATATGGACCTTTGGGAGATGAAAGAGAGGGAAAAAGCCCAACATAAGGCAGTGCTACATCTTCAAGTGTATCTTCACTTTATATCTAATAGAGAATAAATGACAGACAATCTGTATCAAAGATCCCTGAATATCATCTGGTCTTGCAGAAAATCCCCCCCCCCCCGCACTCCAAATAGGCAAGTGAGAACAGTTTTAAGAAGTAGACAATTTAATGGAGAGGAAGATGGCTGAAATTGTCACTTCACTATAAATGTCACCGTTTAAAGTTATGGCCCAAACCTTGCCTTAGAGCAATCTTAGCATTCAGCTGTCATTAAAGAGATTAATACAGGAGACTTCACAGTAGAATTAGAAGTCCAGTACTGTTAGGAGAATTAGCAGAATTAGGAGTCCACACAGGCACTGAGTGGAGTAACAATGCATTATACATGGTTCTGGTATTTAAATTACAGTGTTAAAACACAGAAGTCAGATGCATAAGCAATGAGTAAACATGGAATAGATATCACTGACATTTTAGATGATGTCAAAATTCATATTGCAATTTACTGAGTATTTTTGCAAGTCTAAAATTATATACCCTTTCAAACAGTCATCTCATACTTATCAAGAAAATCGCAATCAGCTAAGATTATCAGAGGCAGGAGCCTCCAAACCTTCCACACCTCGACTGATAAGAGGGTTGGAAAAGGAAGCCTACACAGATGTTCCAACAGAAGTTTGCGATTACAAAAGAATAAATAGAAAAATCTTTCTGCCCACAAATGAGAAGAGGCGAGCAATGCCCGAGTCGCCCAGGTGCTAATAGATAACACACCGTTTTTCCTTTTCTGCCAAAGCGTTTTGAAGCAGCGTTACCGTGAGGACGCAGAGAAGTCGGGGAACAAATTCAACCCGTCAGGACAGTTTGCTACAATAAAGCAACGAAATGACCTTTTACGAAAAGAGGTAACCACGGTACGGCTCAAGATTTGTTACCTTGGTGAAGAGGCAGCGGCGCTTTGTGGAGGAAAAGACAGCGGATTAAAACGACTCTCTCCCTCCCCGCAGTGCACGTCCATGCAGCTACCTCCCCCACCCCTTTTTAAAAAGCCCCCGTAGGAGCCAAAGGCGCCCTTTTCTTCCGCCGCCGCCTTCCTTCCTTCCTTCCTTCCTTCCTTCCCGGGGTATCGTTGCTTTGCAAGCGGGCGGCGGTGGCGGCGATGGAGGAGAGGGAGAAGGAGGCAGCGAGAGCATTCAAAGTACGGGGGAGGTCGGGAGTTCCTCTTGCAGGTTTGAATTTTTTTTCAAGCAAGGCTAGCGAAGCGGGGCGGGGGCAGGAGGGCGGCAGGGAGAGCCCAGCAAAAGGGCCGGCTTTACTGTTCAGCGTTGGTCCATTTCGCTACAGCCTGCAAGTTGACAGCAAAGGGGCTGCTGAAAGTAGCCGGAGCGTCCGCGCGGAGTAGGCGGCCAGCCCCTCTTCCAGCCCGGCCCCCTCCCAGAGAGGGAGGGCTGCGGGGTCTCCGCTGCCCCCTCCCCTCCTCTCCCCTCCTCGTTCACGCTCAGCTGTTTCCTCTTGCCAAGTTCCAGGCTGGCGACTACTATTAATGCGGCGGCGGCGGCGGCGGCTCACACGCTCCAGCCCTGCCTGCTGCGATTGTGTGTTCCTTCTGGCGCAGGGCTCGCTCTGACAGATCCCAGCCAGCCAGATTCCGCTGCGGCTATGGTGGCCCAGGCAGGCCAAACCGCGAAACGGAAAAGAGGAAGGGGGGCACACGACGCCGGCGGGGACGAAGGGGGCGATCGACGGCGTGACCGCCGCGCTCCTGCGGGAAGGAGGGGCTGCCCTCCCCCCAGGGGGAAGGCGGGCGGGCGGGCGCCTCACCACGCTGCGGCTGCGGCCGACCCCGCCGGCTCGCCCCTCTGCAGGCACGCGCGGCGCGGCTTGCTCAGCTCGCCCGGCCCGAGCTCGCTGGCGGCAAACGTGCCCGGCGCTCTCGGAGCAGGTGGGCACGACTGGACGTGCCCCCACGCTTGAGCCGCGGCCAGAGGTCGCGGGGCTCCGTGGATGATTTTAATGGCACCGTTAACGAAGGCCAGGACTGCTGTGCCGTGAACAGCTGTATGAAATAATTGTCTGTATTTCGGATTTCTTTTGCGTCCCGGGAAACAAAGCTCAAGTTGGTTCACAAAATCGTGCTAAATACAATAACCTCAAAAATAGAAATTCTAAAAACAGTAAAATAGCACTCATTAACGGAGCCAAGCGTAGCTTGTAATAGCAGCCACAGGGAAAGCGCCCAGGCAAGGAGGCAGCTCTCCCAGCTGGCAAAAACACTCCACAGTCATGAGGTTGCCAGTGCGTGGATCCCTATCCAGGAATGGTGGTAAATGTTATACCAAGCTGATAATAGGGGTTCTTTCCCAGTAGCACTATTTCAGTTTCAATGGCAACAGATGTATCCAACAGCATCCCCACCCTACACACCTGTTGTTGGATATGGAGTGGAATCCCACCCAGAACAGATAAATTACCTATATGTGGGATGCAAAAACCACCCACTCAAGAGCCTGTCTCATTAGGGTTCAGTTTCAGTTGGATGGGTGTCATGTGGCCCCTTGCCACATCTATGAACTGGTCAAGTGAAGTCACACTTGATCAGAGGTAATAGAGGTGGAGGCCACTATGCTCAGCATCCCCTAATGACTGCCCCCAAGAGCCTCAGATAGAGGCTAAAAAGTGCTGGGGATAAGAACATGCCCTGTGGCACCAAGAATGTGCCAAGGTGCCAACATGGCATATCCATCAAAACACTCTCAGAAACCAACTCACAGATGGGACCAGAACCCCTGCTACCGAATGCCCCCCCCCCCACGCTTCATGGTCTCAATCCAGGAGGATGCCGTGGTGGGTGAGGTCAAAGGGAAGCAATCAGACTGCACTCCCCTTGCCCCAGGCCAATTCCTTCCAGAACCCAGGCTGAATTTGGTCGAGATACTTTGTATTCCCTAAGAGCATTTTAAGCTACCACCCTTGCAAACACCTTGCAATCAAAGACACATTCATAGCTTTCATAAATAAATCTCTGGGCCCAGGAAAGACTTTTTCAAGAGTGTTCGCACAAAAAAGCAGATGTCACCACTCCTTTGCATAACAGTGCATTAAGCACTGCCTGAACCCCCTTGGCCAATGCAGAAGATGAAACCTGCCCATCACCTCCAGTAAGGAAAAATTCTAAACAGGTGCTATCACATAACTTGACTATGTAGCCTATTACTATATTTCTAGAGTTTGGTAGCTCTCAGCAGCAGCTTAGAAAAGTTCCAGCAGCACAATCTTATGGATGGCTGTTCCGAAATGTAGCCCATTTGATTACATGGGGCTTACTCCCAGTTAAGTGGATATGGGTTGCAGTCTAATTTAGGATTGCCTCAGTCCTGCTGGACTTTCCCCATGATAATCCTATTTACACTGAATCTGCTTTCGTAATATCCCAAGCAGAGCATGCTTCCAGACAGACATCTCCTAGCCATACCAAGCAGAATGCTATTCCATCTTTTTCTCCTTAACAGGTTCTCTGCTGGAGAAGAGAAGCAGTGAGAATTAGGAACGGAAGATAGTGCTCCACCATCACCAGCACCACCACACTGTCCCATGAGTATGGCAAGGTGACAATGTCGTTGACGCGCCATCTGGAAGTACAGTGCACTTCTCTGCAGGGCTGGAAACAGTCATGGGGGATTGCATAGAGGCTGTTGGGATGTGAAAAAGAGCCTGGAGGCTAGTTCTTCCTTCTAGGCACCTATTTGCCCCAAGCATTGGCTAAGGTAAAGGCTCTGTGGTCTTTACATTTTTCAAGTTCATACTAGAAATATTTATGCAGTGTCAGCAAAGTCAAGTTCAGGGCACAGTCCTGCAGAAGAAAAGTATGCTGCAGAGCTTGCTTCTGAGTGGTCATGCACAGAACATAAGAACTGAATCACAGCGAAAGTCCATTAGTTTTGCTTCAGACAAAGGCCTGTAGAGAGACCGTGAAAGTAACAAGCAGTCACTCTCCTCCATTCCCAGCACGTGCTATACTGAAGTACATGCTCTCTGAACATGGCGTGCTGTTGATGGCAGATCTTTGTTTAATTCTTTGTCACAACCAAAGGATAGGGGGAGCGGGAGCAAGAACAGGAGGATTATATCAGCTGCACTGGGCTCCTTGCAGGGAAAAGTCCTGCGTTTCGACAATATTTCTTGGTGGTCTTAAGAAAGCAGGATGATTCCCTGGGCAAAATGCTTCTCTTTTGCCCCTTTCCTTGTGTGACATCTTTGGGACTTCATTTCTAGCGTTGCATCTTGCTTCATGGGTTGACATGAACCCAGAGTGCAGACGTAATGTCTTAATGCAGGCCAGGATTTGCATGTCAAGCAAAGGCAAGAAAGGTGAGGGAGAACCACTTAGCTTTGATGTTTGTTTCTCAGCCATGCGGTGACACTGACCCCCCAGTCATATTTGGGGAACATACAGGCATGGAGTCATCACTTCCCTGTGCCCAGTACTAGATGACCATGACTTCCAGGAAAAGCGCTTACATTCCTGATGGCTGGTCATAAACAGGTTACAATGATTCTTGTGGAGCACAGCTTCAGAGCCAGCCCTATAATTAGGCAGAGTAAGGCAGCTGCCTCAGGGCGGCATTGAAGGGCAGGAAATGGTTATTTAGGATCCAACCCTGTCTTTGGGCCAATCAGTCATGCTCAGCCTAACCTACCTCACAGGGTTGATATGAGGATAAAACAGAGCTATGTAAGCTGCCCTGGGGTCCTCATGAAAGGAAAAAAGGGGGAAATAGATGCAATGTAATGGTGTGTTTAGAGAGCGAGGAAGTCCTACAGCTTCCATAATTCCCCAGCTAGCATGCCCAGAGTTGCAGAGCCTCCCTCTCCCTGAGTACACACAGGCTTACACCCAATGAGCAGGGGAGACACTCGCGCTTTTCCACTTGGGGTGCCAAGATAGTGCAATCGGCTTGGTTACAAGGCACCTTGGGGCAGAGGAGGCTGCTCCACCTCAGGCAGCAAACTGTTTTGGGTAGGCCTGAATGGGCACGACCTCGGTAAGCTGCCATGGAAGTGAGCACCATGGCCCTGACCTCCAGGAGGCTCGTGCCGGATGGAACTGTCAAGCAGGTTTTGAAGTTTTATATGAGAGTGCTGAAGTGTTCAAATATGCAGTCATCACTTAGACAGCCTCCTGCAGTGTTAGCACTTAAAGTGCCAAGGCGCATTTTATAATAGTGTTGTATGAAGCAGCAGTTAATTGTTAAACCAAACAGGTCAGGAATAGCTGAGGTAATTAAGTCCAGCACTGCATTCCTCAGCCTTCATGTGACTGCCAAACACGAGCTGCCATCTGCTCACTCCTTCCTTAGCAATCCTACATGCGTGCCACATCGCTCCTTCCCGTTTCCGAACAGTCCCTCATGCAGGGGTGAGCAACTGGCGTCGGTGGGGCCACATGATCCCACCAGCCCTCTGTGGACTGCATGATGCCACAGGGCCTGCGGATGCCTCTTTAAAGCATTGTTCTCTGCCCCGGGGCTGTGTCACCTGCGCTGCATCCTCCCCGGCGGAGAAAGCTGAAGTGCCAGAAAAGCTGCCCCAGTCCTGGGTGACTCCGTCAGCACTGCAGCCTCTCCAGTGAGGGATGGTGGATCCACCCCAGCCAAGGCCACGACTCAAATGCTCCAGCCACAGCTTAGCTGGGGCCGGGCTGCTGCTCCATGCCATGCCCTCCCCAGGGCGAAAGGTCAGTGCATCATTGTCTTGTTCCCAGGCCTTTCCGAAGCTGCTGGTAGATCCTGGAGGGGGCATTTGGGCAGGGGGCAGCACCTGCAGAGGTAGCCCAAGCTGCTGTGGGCGAGGAGAATATAAATCTTTCTTGATGACCAAACAAGGGTCAGTTCTATCAGAGAGACACAAGAGGGTCGAAAATATTAAGCAAACCTCTGTCAAGAAGATCAGAATTTGTAACAATAAGCCTGGAGGCAGATGTTTTGACACCAGATGTCCTAAAAGAAAGTGTAGGTCAAGATAACCATACACAAAAAGTAACTGAATGTTTCCTGCTATGACATTTTCTGCTACTAATCATTACAAAAAGGTAACCATATAAATTGGCTGTGCACAATGACTGTGCCAGTTGGTCCCAAACCGGAGAAAAGGCTCATTCTATGTTGTTAGTGTACACCTGCAAGGAAGAGTTTTTTAATATACTGCAGGACCCCCATATCCACAGGGATACCTTCCAAACTCCCCAGTGGATGCCTGAAACCACAGATAGTAGCAAACACTACATTCACAAGGTTTGGGGCAGAGGGCCTGTGCAAAAGTGGGACAACCATGAATATCCCTAGGAAAAGCCATGAATATCTCTAGGGAAAAATTGTGAATATCTCTAGAGCCTTTGCGCCCACTGAAAGACAAAAAAGGGGAGTGAGGCTAGTACCAAGACAAAGAGCATGGTGTCACCAAACAGAGCG